GTACATTCACTACATTTGTTCAGCTCCCAAATGCACTGCCTCATTTCCCTTTCTCCTCCAACCAGAGGAACAACCTTCCTCCCCACAGACCGAAACCCGCGGGCATCGCCTTGACTCGGGGCTGTGCGAGCTGGCTGACACCCAGCGAACGCCAGAGGGCAGCAGAACCAGCGTATTTCCAGTTTAGGGTGACTTTTTCTTCCTTTCTCCAAAGGGAACCTCTTATTGGGCCACCTGGCTTCATTCAGTCCCCTTGGTCGGGGGAAAGGCAAAACAAAATAAAAACTAAAACTTTGAAGAACTTGAGAAACTTGCCAAGATTCAGAAGATTCAAGTCTTTGCAAAAAGGAGACAAAGATCAAAACAGCTCACCACATTGCAGACCTCTGAGCTCAGCACCTTGTCGCAGAGGCTGTGAGTGACCCTGAGGGTAGCACTGTGAGGCTGTAGAGAGCTCACCTGAGTCCAGGGGCCTTTGGTGGCTCTGGGACCCCATCATCTTCAAAAAAGGCCCAAAACACAGCCAGGCTGGAGAAGTAGCAAAGACTAGGGACTCATGATACACACTTTGGAGCCAGACAGCCTAGCTCCAATCTCAACTTCGGAACTTCGGAACTTTGGAACTTTGTACCAATTGCTCAATCTCTCTGTTCCCCAGTTTCCCATTTATGAAATAGGTACAATAATAGTGTGTCCTTCAGAGGGTTGATGGGAGGATTCAAATGAGCTCATGTATAAAGAGTGCTTAGAATGATGACTGGCACACGGCAAGCACTTATAAGTATCTGGTAGTGGCTTTATTATCATTCTAGAAGGGCAGGTGAGAAAGGGTGAGAAGGCCTGATGCTCACTTCCTCCATGCAGCAGCCCAGCCCCACCTTTGATCTATTCCCTCATTTGAAGTTAACACCCTCAGATGCAGCCTATGTGTCTTCTGGGGTAGGAGGAAGACCCAAGTCAGCCCTGACCATTAAGAGAAAATCACCAGCTGTCCAGTTGGAAAGCAGGGACAAAGCCTGAGGAACGAGACCAGGAAGACACACCTGGGTGCTGGGTGTTGGGGATGGAGGGTTGATCCCTGATGTGGCTCTCTTCCCAGCTTGCAGAGGTGTGAAGCAGGCAGTGTGAGGACCTCAGGAGAGACCACAGAGGACCCCAGAAAAATTCAGTGCTGAGCCTTGACACATGTACTGACTCTTTACATTGTGCAGAATGTGCACATCTCGGGCTTGAAGCTAGCAGGTCTGAGTTCAGGTGTCATCTTGCCCACCCACACAATGTGGGAGTCTGAGCAAGCTGCTTGATTCCTGAGTCTCTGGCTTTGCATCTATGAAATGGGCAAGGTACTGAGCCCTTGCCTGCCTCCTTGTTCAGGTGGGAAGAAACTGACCCACAACAGGTGCATCTGTGACATCAGTCCTTGCACCTGAACCTCATAGTAAACTCCAGAGCAGCTTGTCTAAGAGGCCACTAGAGGGAGAGCCTGTCCCTGCTTGTGTCTCTAACCTCTGAACCTCTGCCCCTGGGCTCTTCCGATTTTTCCCAGGCATAAAGGTATGGCTACCCTTTTTCCTCTACAGTTACATTTTCTTGAGAGCTTATTATACACTGGATACTGTGTTAAGTGCTTTACTTTAATCATCTGCTTTAATTTTCAAAATAGTCCTAGGCTGTAGATATTATTGCTGCTCAACTGATAAGCAAATAGGCTCAAATAGATGAAGTGGCTTGCTCAAAATCACTAAGCTAGTTCAGCTGAAAGAATTCTGCAGCTGATGCACTTCACCAAAAAGTGATGCTGGGCTTAGAATAAATGTGTGGTGGTGGTGAAGGGTGCTTTTAAATTTTAGATTCCTTTTCTCCCATCTTGAGGAAAGGAGGTGTGACAAACTAAAGGAAGACTCTAAAGGTGCTTGAAGAAGCTCCTGAGGACAGCCTTGGGTCCACCCTGTCCTAAGCATCCTTGGATTTAGGGATAGTCACTTTTTAACCTAAGCTCTCCTTCACATACCCCTTATTTTCTTTAGTGAAGGCTGCAGGTCCCTTCCCCCTACCCAGTCTCTCTCACAAAGCTGGAAATAGAGACTGACCCCAGCGACCCAGGCCTCCGTTTTGAAAAGTTAAATCAGATTAGCTCATTAATGGCCTTGCCAAATACCTCGGTCGGTGGGCTGGCCTCTGTGAGCCCCTCCACAGCCTCTCTGGCGGGCGGCTGGGCTCCGTGGTTAATAAATGACTTGGGCAGGCTGGTGCAACAGAGGCCCTCTGTGGAGCGGAGGCACGGGGGTGGGGGGCAGATCATTAATAAATATTGATTTGGTTCCAAAGGAAGCAGCCCGCTGGAGAGCTGGCCCCGGACACCCACGTAGTGGTCCCATTAAGTCGGGGTCAACTGCTCAGCCAGAACGCCAAGGGGCGGCTGGCTCAGGAGCGCCACTGAGCAAAAGGGCCCCCAGGCCTGGCTGGAGCCTACTTCCTGGCCAGTGGGTCAGAGCAGGCTCATTCAATTTACAGCAGTTCAAGGTGCAGCCTGAGTCAATCTTACCCCCTCCCTCCTCCCGAGGTTCACCAGCCCCAGGGGTTAGCCGGCAAGGCACCCAGGCTTGCCTCCAGCCTGTCTCAGGGAGAGCAATAAATCTTGGTTTCTTGACTCTGAAATAGAAGGCTGTTTTCACCACCCCCTCCCAGGCTCCCAGATGTCTCCTCTGAGGCAATGGCCTCCAGTCCCTGTGCGCTGATCTCAACAGCTCCCAAAAAGGAAGAAGAGACAGCTTGCCAATATCCTGCAGGAGGAAGACTTTTGAGGGTTTTATGTTTCTCTTTTAAGTAGCTTCTACTTTCTTTCTGGAGAAGGAATGCTCTTCAGGAAGCTATTGGCAAGGATGATGAGCCAAAGGCTGGCTGATGGTGCCCAGCTATTACCCTCTGCCTCCTGGAAACAGCAGTGGTCAGAAGTCAGGAGTGGTGGTTTTAGGGCAAAGCATCTGTTCTCGCTGTTCACATGGAAAATTAAGAATCCTGGAACCAGATGAATAAAAGGGAACTCACACATGAAGTAAGGAGTGAAACTGCTTAATGAAGAGAGTGAGTGAATAGATATGAGTGAAGTTATGAATAAATAAAATAATAACCTGTAGGGATATTTATTCCAACCACCCACCTAAATTGGAACTACCTGCCCAATATCCTTTTAAAAATGTTACACGTATCTCATAAACATTATCCATTGGCAGGTTGGCCCCTATATCCCCAGATATCCAATTCTGTCCTCTGAGAGCTCACAATTGCATGAGATCTGGTCCCTGTTACTTACAACTCTACTTATGGTCAACCAACATTGGGTCAAACACAAGACATCTCTAGCCTTCTCCAGGTATTGTTTATTTCACTCCGGCAGCACCTCTTTGGCCCCGCTCCCCTTCTCATCAACTGAACCCACGACTGGGCTCAGTGCCCCAGTGCACCTCCTAAGACTGCTCCTGAGGCACGCTACTTTCTCTGTCACTACCATGTACTATGCCATAATGTATTATGTAGCCACAACCCGCTAGATTATAAAATGCATGGGTCTAGGCACCATGTTTGTCTTTTTCACTATTGTATCCTCTGTGTGGCTGACACCAAGAGGGCACTCAATCGATATCAGTAACATAAATGATCGACTGAATTAGGAGACAGATGTGAACGAGAGAGGAAGTTGGCAAAGCTGTGCTGTTTGAGAAGGAGTAGTAAGAGAAGGACGAAAATCCCAATAGTCAAGATTGTTCAAAAGTAAGGGCCACATAATTTATAAAATGCTAAGGAAAGAGAAAATTCCTGGGGGATAATTGTGTCAAATGCTATAAAAATGTCAGAGGATGAAAAAAAAAAGATGCTATTGGTTTTGAGTATTGTCAGAATGGTACAAAAGAAAAGAAGAAGAGAAGAAAAAAGAAGGAAGAAGGAAGCAAGGAGGAAAGAGGACGGTGGAAGTAGGGAAGGGAAGGGGAAAAAAAGGGAAGGAGAAAGTAAAGCTGCATGAAAAGCTGACCTTCTATCTCCTTTGCTAGTGCCATGTTCAATATAGCACAAAGTCAAGTGGATGATGTTAAGCACAAAAAATAATATCTGGAAATGAGAGATCATTCACAGGGCCCCTCATCCAATCCCACACATGAAGTTGTCTCTGTGGCTGCTAGGTAAGCCCTGGCTTCAATGAGGTGGTGGCTGCCAGTAGCATGATTGGCCTGGTCGTTGTCTATGTCCATGAAGCTGGTGGTGACACGGGACCTGTTGTTGGCTGGGGCTACAGATCATAGAAAGCTCTCCCTACTGAAGCTTAAGGATATCTAAGATCAAGGGCCTATTTAACTCAAGCAAGTTCAACTTGATCCTTCAAGCACCCTAACGCACAGGGTATTCCACATAATCCCCTCCACGCACCACAGGAATTGGGAAAGCGGGTCTTCGCTACATTTCACAGATGAAGGAGAAGGGGTCATCTATATGGAAGGTTGTCATCTATCTGGAAGGGGTCAACTATCTGGAAAGTTTGAAGATGGAATTCAAACCTAGCTAGTAGTATACAAAATGGAGACCTGAATCCTGGCTCTTGACTCTAAATTCATGGCTCCTAGTGTGTCAGGACAATGCTCCCTCAATCCAGCATGGTGGCAAAGTGACATTCAGTTACAATCATTCCATATCCTCTTCCTTCTTCAATTGAGATAACACACCTGTCATACAGAGGAAATATATTCCCAGTCTAATTTTTTCTAACTTTCGCAGTCTTTTGGACTGACCCAAATAGCGTTTCATGGTTGCCTTTGTTTATCAAAGTTCAGGAATTTGGGGAGTTTGGACTTGCTCAACCCTAAGATTCATTGTGTATCCTTATGAGAGACTTAAGGATAAGTTTACATGTAACATTTTGCATGGGCCCTACATGCAAGGTACTTTATGCAAATTATATCATATAATCCACACAACCACACTGATACCTGGATTTCTTCATTTTGCAGGTGAGAAAAGTGAGGCCTAAAGAGGGAAAGCAACTTGGCTAAACAGCTACAGCCCAGGAATTGAACTGGAGCAGTGAAGACTACAAAATCCATGCAACCCTTTAACTATACCTTTCTGACTTGTTTTCTAATATTAAAAACAAGAATAACACTGTGTTAGCTTTAGCTGTCTGAGTTGGTTGTTGCAAGGCTTAAATGAGACAACCTAATGGGAAAGAATTTGGAAAACACTGAATTTGGCATACTTGTGAGGGATTCCTCTTAGAATGAGAGGCTCCTTATAATTTTTTAATCTTCCTGAGCTTGAAGCCCTGTGACCTGGCAATCAAGATGGGCTGCAGAAATAGCACTGGCACAGGATTTTCCTTTACCAACGAAGAGAGCTGCCTGTGACCAAGTGCAGGGAGCACACAGTCTACCAACGATATGAAGAGACTCTGCTTCCTGCTCCTAGGTTGGTGTCACCTACCGCTGAATGAGCTGATCCTCTCAGCTGGGGTCTGCTCGTCTCAGTTAGACAGTCTGCTGAAATGAGTCACCTCCCCAGCTGCCAGGACTTAGTGCTACATCAGCGCAACCAGCAAGCATACAGGTAAAGACTGAAAAAGGCAGCCAATCCTGTGTGTTTTTCCAAACATTCAGATACTTGGTCTCCTGCAGACGCAGAGCCACATACATCTACCAGTGTGAAAGGCACACATGGAATGCACAGAGTGAAATGCCCGGGAGGAGGTTTAGAGCTGAGAAGAGGGCAGTGGGGAGATGGAGACAGAAAAGCCAAGCAGAGAAAAAGAGAAGAAAGAAAAGCACAGGTGGTGGGAGTGGGGAAAACTCCAGCCATATGGATTCCCTTCCAGCCCTAAGCAGCTTCTCTCTAAAAATTCTCAACTTTTTGGGAACCATAGCCCTTTTGAAAAATCTTGTCTCCCAAAAAATATGCATGCACACCTGTGTATTATATTGCCCACAATCCCAGGAACTTTTCAGAGCCCTCTAAGAAATCCTGTCCTTCCTCCAGCCCCAATTGGTCTGAAATGTCAGCTTTACTCAGCGCTGTTCTTCGGTCAGCAATGTTGTAGCAGAAAAAAATCAAGAAGGCAAGGAGAGGCAATAAGAGAGAAGGAATAACTATACTGATATTGCTTTTGTCTTCTCACAGTAATCACAAGTGTCCCCAGGCAAGATAGACAGATAGATGATAGATAGATAGATGGACGGATGGATAGATAGATGGATAGGTAGATGGATGGATGGATGGATGGATAGATAAATCGATAGACAGACAGACAGACAGGCACATAGATCTTCCTGCTTTCCACAGTCACAGAACCTGCAGTTGTTCTAGCAATTTGGACTCACTTTTCTTCCCCACCAGGACCCTTATAATCACTATAAATTAAACAAAATCCAATAAATGTTTATCTGCTCTTGGAAAATAATTCCAAACATTTTTCTCAAAAGGTTATGTTTGTATACCTCTCTCTACCCAAGACTTTCAACTATCTGCTTCTCCTGGCTGCAATCTGTCTCCATGCAGGAATTTTCTAGCCCCCAGTAAATGTAATGTCATGCAGTCGACTTAAAGGGAAAGGTAAAAGGATTAGTAGATTGATTGATGAAAGATATTAATGCTCTTTCATGTTGGGTTGAAGAAGGATTTGAGGTCATCAGGAAAGAGAGTAGCAGGAGAATAGACCTCAAGTATTCAAAAGACTCCCTGGATTAAAATCCTATTAAACTCACATCAGCTTCTCCAGGAGGCATTTGAGAAGGTTGGGGTTTCTTTGCCATGTCGCTGTAATTAACCGTCTCTTAAGCTGTTTTGGGTGGGGAACTTAAGCAATTAAGAAACTGAAAAACTTTTATTTTCTATCACTCACATGGCTTTTTGAATGGTTTAAAAACTAAAGTGGAAAGTGGTTTAGCTTAATTGATTTGAGGGGTTCAGATCTCCTACTTGAACCTGCTGTCAGACTTGCCTCTGAGATCTGAGTTCCTCAATAAAAAGGGCATTTTGTCCGCAGAAAGAATCAAAGGTTCAGATCTACTACAATGCTTTTCTTCCTCTGACTGTTCTCCCACTGAGTCCTATAGAAACAGCAACTTTGCAAAGGAATGGTTGCTTCCCCTAAAAAGACCTGTTTCTTGGCCCAGACCCCACTTTACAGAAACTACCACAGAAACCCAAAGAGTGTTTCTCGGGAGATGCCAGGTCATGGCACGTCCGCATCAGCTGTCTCATTACAGATAAGTTAAGGTCAGGTGGGGGCAGCCGCTATGGGATTGGGTGACCAATCATCTGAAGAAGTAAGGGTCACAAAACACAAGTTGTTTTAAAGGGTTGGTCTTAGCCAGTTTTTCGCCAGTTTTTCTTCCCTAGGGAAAATGTCATCCCGCTTCAAATATCAACAACCTTGCCATTTCGAACAAGGAATTCAGAAGCCCCGTTAGGGAATTGAACCTGTGCTACCTCCAGGCTCCAATAAGCCCAATTTTTACACACTGCCTCTATGTGAAAACATTAGCTTTTTAGTCTGGGCACGGTGGCTCACACCTGTAATCCCAGCACTTTGGGAGGCCAAGGTGGGCGGATCACCTGAGGTCAGGAGTTCGAGATCAGCCTGGCCAACATGGCGAAACCCCATCTCTACTAAGAATATAAATTAGTTGGGTGTGGTGACATGCACCTGTAGTCTCAGCTACTCAGGGAGACTGAGGCTGGAGAATCGCTTGAATCCAGGAGGCAGAGGTTACGCTGAGCAGAGATCGCTCCACTACACTCCAACCCAGGTGACAGAGTGAGACTTTGTAAAAAAAAAAAAAAAAAAAAAAAGCTTTTTTACTTTGATACTTCCTGGATCCTCAGAGCTAAACACAAGTGGAAAACAGGCCGAACTGCACCAACCCTGTCTCCATCACAGCACCTGTCCCTCTATTCTACTTACCTGGGTGTCTCATCCCCTTTACCAGGCTATGAGCTTCTTAAGAACAGGCAGTTTGACCCTTTCTCTCCTAGCACTGTACCCAGCACAGAGCTGCACTCTACACACCCTTGCCCAGGACCCTCCAGAATCCACTGTTTGCCTTGAGGCAAGTCACAGCCTCTGTTTTCACAATGAAAAATGAAGGGGTCTGTAGGGCCGTGTGACCTCTCAGGTCATTTTTCAGTTGCCAGACTCTCTGAAAAAGTAGCTGTGTACAGCCTGCATTTTGGCCATTCTTGTGCTCATGCCAGTGTTTATAATAATACTGATGACGATAATGTTAAGAACAGAATGTCTTTAATTCCTTAAACAGGCTCTGTTCTGTTCCCAGTGCTTCATTTGTGTGATTTCACAAATCCTATAAGGCAGAGGCTCTTGTGACTCCCCTTTGATACACTGGGAGACTGCAAGGGTCAGTGATTTGCTCAAAGTCACACCAAGTGTGGTCACAATGGTTCCTGAATCTGAGCTCCTAACTCCCCCTTTATATCCCTGCTAAGGACCTCCTTTCTGAGCCTCCAGTTCGGGCTGCTGGCTCTCCAGCTGGTTTGCTACATCTTCCCTGGCTCTTCCAGGGGCTGGCTGCCTGCCTGTCAATTGCTTTGATTTCTTCCCCCGTGGCTCCAGCTGGCCCAGCCTCCACCAGCTCCAACCAGAGGCAGAATTGCCCCAGGATCTGGCAAGTCCTTTGTCCAGAGGGTCTGCAGCTCCTGTTGAGAGCAGGTGGCCGGAAAAATGCAAAGAGGGCAGTCACTGGGGAAGCAGCTTGGGAGGCTGAAGGGGAAAGAAGGCAGATAGGGCTGACCCAGGGAAGCATTCCAAGTGCCTGCCCTCCAGGGTCCTAACCCCATCTGCATGGCTGTGCACCCTCTGCAAGGGCAGAACACTGGGGTGGGCCTTCCTTGCCTTAGTTATACCCAGGAGAATGAAGGCAGAGACAAGTCTCCTAGAAAGGCCATGGAGCTACCTTTTAATAAATGTTTCAGTGACCTGTTTTACAGGGTGGGTGTTGTTTCATTTAAAGCATCTCTGCATATTAAGATGCTTCTTTCAGCTATGGTGCTTGAACTCCTCTTGACCCAAAGTCTTTCCAAGTGTTTTGGAAAGAAACTTGATTTTATAAGTAGGAAAAAAAATAATTTTTAAAAAAACCTTCAGCTCAACAATAACATTTTCAGGTATTTACTCAAGTCAGTTGAAAATGTATCTTCACACAGAAACCTGCACATAAATGTTTCTTCACAGCTTTATTCATAGTCACCAAAAATTGGAAGCAACCAAGATGTCCTTCAATGGGTGAATGAATAAATGAACTGTGGTACATCCTGACAATGGAATATTATTCAGCAACAAAAAGAAATGAGCTATCATGTCACAAAAAGACATGGAGGAACTATAAATATGTATTGCCAAATGGAGGAGGCCGGTCTGAAAGGGCTATGTACTGTATGATTTCAACTATGTGACATTCTTGAGAATGCAAAACTATGGAACTACTAAAAAGATCAGTGGTTGCTGGAGGAAGTATGTAAGGAAGAAGGAATGGACAGCTAGGGCACAGGGCATTTTTAGGGCAGTGAAACTATTTTGTATGACATTGAAATGCTAGATACATGACATTATGCATTTTCCAAAACTAGTAACAAAGTAAAACACAAAGCATGATCCTGAATGTAAACTATGGACTTCAGTTAGTGATAATATATCAATACTGGTTCATCAACTTTAAAAAGAAAAAAATACCACACTAATGCAAGATGTTAATAGGAGAAACTGAGGTGGGGATGAAAGACCTGGGAACTCTCTGTACTTTCTGTGCAATTTTTCTGTAAGCCTAATACTGCTCTTTTTAAAAAAAATCTATTAAAACATGGTTCATCTGAATATGCTTTGGGTCCTAAAAAGCAGTCACCTTGCTCCTCTGTATTGCTTTCAGGCTAATCAGAATCATAATAGGAACCACATGCTATCATTTGTCCAACCTTATAATGCACCAGGACACTGTTCTAAGCACTGTTTATGTATGATTTTATTTAATCCTCACAAATGCCTTATGAAAAGTTGAGGTCAGGACAGTTAAAGCAACATGTCAGGGGTCTCAAAGTCGGTATGCGGAAGAAGTAGGGCTTGAGCCACAGTCTATTCAACTTCAAGGCCACTCTTAGAATTCCTACACTCTATCACTCTCTTCCCCTCCAGCGGATGGGTAGCATTTCAGTATGTAAATAATGGGACAATGCAAGTTTGGCAATTCCTACGTTAGTCACTCATTAGGGAATATTTGCAGAGCACCTGTGTACCAAGCATTGTGCTAAACTCTGAGTACAGAAATGTAAGTAAGAGAGTCACCTGCTCACAAGGAGCTCGTATGAGTAGAAGAGACAGATAAGAAGATGGAAAGGGACAATGAAAGCCCTAGGAACAAGGAGCCAGGCAGTCCCAGCTCTGGCACTGTCACGTTATTAAAAGGACTTGGGGAGATCTCTCTGGTTGGAATGGAGATATTCAAAAATCCATTCAACCATCTTGTGTTGATTTTTGTATATGGTAA